GAATGAATGCACACAAACCAGTGAAGGTGGCAAGAGGGGGTTTAAGAAAAATGGTTAAGACAACAAGGCTCTGTGGAGAGGCATAGAGCACAAAAGCATCAAAGTTATGATGAAGATTTATAAAACAATGACTCAGGCTCAACTAGAGTATACTGTTGATTTCTAGGCAGTATAATGGGAGGATATATAGGCTTTAAGAGAGGTCATAAAAAGATTTGAAAGAATAGTTTCAGAAATGAGGGACTTCAGTTATTGGATACCTTGGGGATATTGTTCAATCATGGCTTTTAAAAGGAAGTTGGTATCTGAACAGAAAACCCTTGCAGAGCCATGGACCAAGGGCATGGAATGGGGGACTAGCCAAGTTGTTCTTGCAGGAAGATGGCATGGATACTACAGGTCAAATGGCCTCTGAGCAGTAACATGCTACAATTTCACATGTTATTGATGAATCACAGCCAATGTTTCAGGTACAGTTTGGCATGCTTTACAATCACCAGTGCTTGCAAACAACCAACTAACCTAACATGGCCCTGCAGTTCCATGATCACATTTAATCGAGGTGACAGATACAAGACATGGATGTGTTACACATAGAAAGAATGACTTGCATTTCAGAACTAGGATGGTCTTAAAGTGAATGAAGGACTACTCTGTTGGATCAATGTAGGAAATATGCATGGCACAATTTGTAGTGCAAACACAACATCTGCATCTTTCTCATTACTGTTGGAAAATAAAATACCACAAGTGCAGATCGCAGTAGCGAAAGTGTTAAGCTAACATCAGGCTATAACAAACTACAGTCCAAAAATGATCCACCTTCATTCTACATGGATCTTGTAAAATGCCTCTTCGCTTACTCTTTAAAGTAATTCCTCTTCTCATGTTTCTCAATAAATCTACAGAATTCCTCTGAATGTTATTGGGCTCCATTCTCGCATAAAAAGGATTGTATAGCTGATTATAAATTGGGGTTTGGGAAATAAGTTGGTTATTATTTTGCTGAGACTTTGATATTTTTCCATTTTCCCTCTGCATTACACCAGAAAATGGTTGGAAACTTATTTGAAGTGCTCCAACAATGCCAGTTTCTGGTATCCAAATAATAAGGCAATAAGATATCCAGCATGAGTAAACTATGCAGATTCTTCAAAAAGATGGGCCAAATTAAACAAAACTACAAGCACTGGCCAAACTTAGGAACTAAATAAAAGGAGGCAAATATTCCAACTTTGTTACTGGATGTGCAACAGGGGTCAAAATAAGTTTTATTTTCAAAGGCTCTCCGAGATGTCTTAAGAGCTACTTTTTGATTTGTAGGGAATATTTTTTCATTCCCACCAACTCTTTCATTAAGTAAGATGCAGTCAATTAGTAACACTACTGTTATGTTAATAGAGGGTATTTCGACTGTCAGAAGCAGAACTATAAGAATTCATCAATATCCTTAGTAATTAATTAACCCTCAATTAAACCAAACAGGAATGTTCCCTCCCAGTTGGGGTACACTTCAGTAGTCAAGGACTTTCAGCCTCTGATCTTCGGGTAAGTGTCCTCCTTCGAGACACACAACAACGCAAAATCACCAAGCAGATAAAGTTCCATACCCACGAAGACGACCTCAGCCACGATCTTGGGTTCATGTCGCAATACAGGTGACCCTACCAGACTGTTCTGTATCTGTAAAATCTTCCTTACTGTCCTGTTTTGACACCCTCACCTTCATAAATTATCATGATCTTTCTACCTTAATTAGTTTGTACAGTTTTGGATTGCTTATGACTTTGGTTAGACCCTCAGCATGCGACTCTTACACCTATCGTGTTATTCCAGTCAGTTGGTTTGTCTCCAGCACCACCTTATTTTTAATTTTCTGTAATTATCTCTCTGCTTCATTTAATGGGATTATAGTTCATTCCTTCGCTTGTTATTCAGCTATTGGCACTTTACTCACACCATCTAACAGTTTTGATCACCAGAGACTTGTTATTCATCACTCCACTCACATCATTCATATGATCTTTTGATCTCTTTGCCTATAAATTCTGTGTCTGTGTGCTTCTCTCTCACTGCACCCGACGAAGGGGCATCACTCCGAAAGCTTGTGATTTCAAAGAAACCTGTTGGACTATAACCTGGCGTCATGTGACTTCTGACATGTAATGTTTAACTTCCCTAGACGCCACAGGATTTAAACTGGCACAAGATAACAGGCATAACAGCGTGTTGTGTGTATGGGTACAATTACAACATTTAAAAGGCATCTGGATGGGTATATGAATGGGAAGGGTTTAGAGGGATATGGGCCAAATGCTGGTAAATGGGACTGGGACTGGTCAGATTGGGATATCTGGTTGGCATGGATGAATTGGACTGAAGGGTCTGTTTCCATGCTGTACGGCTCTATGACTCTTAAGTTAGCAATCAAAGCTTTTTTCCAGGTAAGAGATACACATTTCATTTAAAAAGTAGATTAATTTGCAAGGAATTCAGTACACGTGAGTCCAAGTTTTCACATCTCTTGGCTAGCCAAGTAATTCTTAATTGACAGGCTCCTCTTGGCAGCCACTGCCATTTTCCCCAGTCCTCCACTCCACAGGTATTGGCTTCTCCCCTCCCACTGCCACCCAGTTCTTGTCTCAGCCAGCAGACCCTTAACACCACCCAACAACCCCCAACACTTGGCCTCACCTGGCAGATTCTCACTCCCCTGGCCTCCTAGTGTAGCCCAACCAACAGCTAACATAGGGAAGAAGCTGCCTGTGATTTATAGAGTCACAAAATCCCTACAGCATGGATGCAGGCCATTCAGCCCATCGAGTCCACAACGACCCTCCAAACAGCATCTCACCCAAACCCACATCCCCCACCCTATCTCTGTAACACAGCTTTTCCCATAGCTAACCCAACCATCCCTGGACACTATGGGCAATTTAGCGTGGCCTATCTATCTAATCTGCATATGTTTGGGCTGTGTGAGGAAAGCCATGTAGATATGGTGAGGATATGCAAACTCCACACAGACCGTTGCCTAAGGGTGGAGTCTAACCCAGGTCCCAGGCGCTGTGAGGCAGCAATGCTAACCACTGAGCCACTGTGTCATCCAGTGTGGAGGAAATTCCTTTCAAAGTTTTTTAATTCCATGTACAATAACAATATTTTTGATTGGTCACCTTGCCCCCTCCACAACTCATTCCTCATGCACGATTTTGCCAATTATGAGCGGTAAATTCGCCTTCCCTCCCTTGCATTTTGAATGTCGACGTGCAGCGATCCTGTGGGTTACTTTTGATCATTAATACATCACTTGCCCTTTAACAAAACCTACGTGCATTAATTGTAAGAAACACTAACTTTATTTACATGAGTTGAAGAATAAACACATTCCTGGCTGTGTGATCCTGTTACTGCTCTATAGCAAATGCATTAATCATTCCTCAGTTATATCACTAAAACTCAATGAAAGTGTCAGAGATACATAAGAATGAAACAAGTTTGAATTTCAGAAACTAACCACAACTAGAATGGCTCCATCACTCTTAATTTTTTACTCTTTAAATCTTGGAATTTAATGGAAGCAACGTAAAATATTAACATAAATATCACAAAATATTAACAAATGCTTAGTAAACTCACAAGCCAGCCCAATGTGAAAATACAAAACAGTTCCTTCATTGTCACCACTGTGGGAGCATCTTTAACATGTAGACTGCAACAGTTTGAGAAGGCTATCTCAGGGGCAATTTGAAATAGGCAATAAGTGCTGACCTTGCCAATGAACCCTACATCCCATGAAACTAATACATGAAAGAAAAAAAATGCCTCTTGCCTGAATTTAATGGAAACATTACCTAATTTTAAATGGTTTCATACCACTGAAAACAGCAAGGGATAACATCACTTGGATGTACTAAGCATGGAACTATGATTCTATAATGTGGGGTTACAGGGAAAGGGGGAGGTGGGCCTGGGTGGGATGCTCTTCAGAGAGTCAGTGCAGACTTGATGGGTCAACAGACCTCTACCTGCACTGTAAGGATTCTAAGACTGGTATACTTACATCACACATCATCATACCCAGGCATTAATCTCATTACAGAGAAGTTCAGTGAACTTCAGAAATGCAGTGATTTACTGAGTGGCACAAAATGACCAATTTGAACATTATTTATCAAGCAGAAACCTAATAACAGAAACCTAATAAGACTCTATCACATACCAAGAGTGAATAGTATGGATAACAGACTGGTTCCAGAAGTGTTTAGCTCTCAATACAGTATCCAAACAATTAGTTGAGTTCTCAGTACCATGACAAATTTCTTATTTTGTTACTGTTCTTCTCCCTCTCTACTCCTAAAAGTGTCAACCTTTTTCTGGACAGATCATCTGGTCAAATCAAGGCAATCTATCAGAGGATGCTAAAAGAAAAATCTGAAACAAACACAGAACTGTACAAACTCAGTAAGTCTGGCAGCATCTGTGGAGAGGGACACAAAGCTAACATTTTGAATCTGGTATGACTGTTCAGAATACGTCATCCCGCACTCTGTTTCTCTCCCCACTGATGCTGACAGACCTATTAGATTTTCCCAGCATTCTCTCTGTTTGTCTCTGATCAAATCTTTGCTCTTGATGTGTAAGCTTCAAAATTTTTAGTCGGCTATTCATCTTGAAGATATTGTATCAGAGCTTGCTGCTCCCTTCAGGCAACATCCACATACACAGAGGTACACAAGCTAAATGTCTTAGCTAGCAACCAGAAGCTAAAAATGTAACCGAATTTCTCTTCCCTGACCCAGAAATGCTAATTGCCTTTAATCCTACTTCAGCTGAGATTGGCTAAGTCAACACTGGCCAGAATCAAGCCTTGGACCTTTGCTGAATATTTGGCACATTTCACCCCTTGGGTGAACTCACCAGGTCTTATGAAGAAAGGTCTTAAGGAATTGGCAATGATATTCATTACGTTAGGACAAGGCACTGCACTTTAAATTTACCTGTCCAAGATCAAGCGTAACATTGACTTCGTTGTATTCCAGGCCACGGGAGAGAGGGGGACTCTGCCACCAACGTTCTGTCCCATCAATGGCATTGGTGCTTGGATGTGCTTTGTTACTCTCTGCCTTGCAAATATCACAATATTGACCCTATTAAAGAAAATAACACATTTTCAGTAAAATTGTAAGTCCTTTAAAAATGCAAACATTTCAAGTTTCTAAACCAGTTTCATTTGTCAATAAGATGATTACTGTCATATTAAACATGACATATTATACTATTAGTACTTAAATGAGCATCTTCAACTTCCAGTATCAACCCCAATTTGTAAATGCCAACAGTTTATGAACTAATATTCCATGGCATCACTCACTAATAGTCTAAGGTCAAAAGTACAAATGTAACAGAAAGCTACCAGAACAGATCTGTGTTTAATCTTCTTATTCTTCAAGAGGTCGCTACCCAGGTACTCCCTTAAGAAAATCATGTAACTGCTGCATTATAGATCAATTTGGAGATCATTCCTATAGGATGTTTCTCTTTAAGTTGGTAGCTTCTGCCTTTGGGAGAAATCCAAGTTAGGAGATCCAAAAACAAGCAGGGTGGCTGGTTTCTTTTCTCTTTTCTTAACAATACTGATATTTCAAAATATGATATCCAAAATATGAAGGGGATTGGAGGGTTTGAGCTAACGGGAGGAGCTGAATAGGCTGCAGCTTTTTTTCCCCAGGAGCACAGGAGGGTGAGGGGTGACTTCATAGAGGTTTATAAAATCATGAGGAGTATGGATAGGGTGAATAGTCAAGATCTTTGTCCCAGGGTGGGGGGAGTCCAAAACTAGAGGGCATATGTTTAAGGTGAGAGGCGAAGGATTTAAAAAGAACCTGAGGGGTATTTTTTTTCATGCAGAGAGAGTGGTGTGTGTATGGAACAAGCTGCCAGAGGAAGTGGAGGAGGTGGGTACAATTACAACATTTAACAGGCATTTGGATGGTTAAATGAATAGAAAGAGTTTAGGGGAATATGGGCCAATATGATATTGACAATTTTTTTTCACAGCTGGTGTACTTACACTTATTCAACGATCTAGTACTAATTTGATTTTTTTTAAAATCAGAAGGGGATCGGAAAGAGATTGAGAGAAAATGTACAAGAATAGATGTTGGATAACCTGCCCAATGTTCATGAGTGCTCCTGCTATTTATGCATTTTCTTCTGTGACATAATGGCTCAGGTTTTGCAGCAGAAATGATAGCAAAAGCATAATTACTCTCCTCCGTTATTCCACTGAAACAGGCAGCAACCTGTGGAGTATGCATATGTGGATAACACAGAAATCCAGACAGTGCTGATAATGCTTCTGTGCTCCTCCTGAGGATGTGCACTGAGCTAATCAACTGGCCTCACTGTAAAAACCTTTGAAAAGGTTACACCTCACTGAACAAAGTGTAACTGGACTTTTAACTTAACTCACTTAATTACTCACTTATTTTCACAGGCCCTGAAAAGCTCATTTTATTACTTGCAGAATGTTAAAGTTCTTTATGAGGATAAAAGTACCAAAAGTTAATTTACTTTTATTTTAGTTTCATTTTAATCCAATTATTTATTTTGAATTGCATGTTAAGGTTTTAAGTCCCTGGAGCGACATTGTGATGACATCATGGACGTACACCTCACTGGGAATTAAATAGCACAGTGTGGGAGAAGTTAGTTATAACAGAGAAGACTGAGATAATACGACAGATAAGAGAGAATCACGTACAAAACAGCATATGGGGGGAGATTAACTCCATGAGACAGTTATGGAATAGTCTTTTAATAACATAACAGTAAGATAGACCCTGGTATATCTTTGATTACCAGTCTTACTACATGATAAACATTGTTATAAAGAAGCCCCTTAAGCCTGAAGGTAGTTCTTGCCTTCTTCTTGACCAATCTGTCTCAAACCCAAAATCTTGGATGTGGTCATAAAACCACACATAAAACCAAAAAGATACTGTTATCTGAAAATTTAAATACAAAGTGAGAGATATTAACTGCTTTTAACCTTCTGGTTTGCTAGACTCGAATACCCAAATACAACTGGGTACCTATCCGCACAAATGATGTCACAGCTGCTAGATACCAAGGGATGCCCTGGACTTGTTACCAAGTTTAATCTGCTGTGATAAGGGTAACACCATGCCACAGAGAGGTTAGACTATTGTGGGCAGGTTTGCTTGAGGTCAGTGGCCAACTACACAATCCAGGCCAAAGTATGGCAACTAATCAAAGGACTTCCTTATTACAAATGCTTATTACAAAAGATTGCACTTTCCAGCTATCCCTTCTAGTTCTGAAGAGAAATGGCTCATCCTCTTTTCCAAAAATTGTTTTTGGTGGCTGCCAGATCTGTTCAAAAGGCCGTAAAGGGTTAGCCACACAGTGTGGAGTTACGTAATGACTAGACAGGTTAGGAATGGCAGTATCTCTTCCCTGAATGATGTAACTGGGAGCAGTTAGATTTTAATGACAAAACAGTGAAACCATCAATCATTAAAAGTGGCACTGCAGCTTGGTAAAGTATACACTATTCTAAGTTTTTAATTAATTCGGACAAAGTTCAGGAGCAAGGAGGTGAACACTTGTCCAGGACACTAGCTCAGCCTCAACCGGAGAAATGCACTGCGTTCTGGGTGTTGCACTCTAGGAAGGTCACAAAGGCATTGGAAAGAGTGCAGAAAAGATTCAAGAAAGTAGTTTCAGGAAGAGGAATTTCAGTTAGAAAGACAAATTGTTAGAATTATTTTCTTGGTGAAAGGAAGATTGAGAGATGATGCAATGGAGATGTTCAAAACCATGAAGCATCTGAACAGATTAGATAGGGAGAAACTGTTCCTACCTGAGAAAGGGTTAAGAGTGAGAGGGTACAGATTTAAAATGAAATAGGCAGATTAAAGGTAAAATCAGCAAAAGCAAAATGAAAAGAAAATTTCATGCTGCGAGTGGTTAAGGTCTGGAATATACTGCCTGAGAGAGTGGTTGAGGCAGATTTAATTGACATATTCAAAATTGAATTAGATTGTTATCTGGAAAGGAAGAAAATGCAACAGGGAGAGGCAGGGGACATGATAGATTGAACTCCTCCCACAATTTAGCAATTCTATGATTCTGGTTCCGTAATGTAAATGAGATGATATAAATACAATTTCACAATTTAATCTGGTGGGATTGTATTGTTAGTCGAAAAGCACATGGACTCATAGATTGATTATAGCAGAGAATATGATCAGTTGGCCCGTTGTGTTCTGTGCCAGCTCTTTGGACAAGCTATAAGATTCAGTCTTCGTGCATCACCTTTAAATAAATTAAGAGCGCATTGGAGGTAGCAAATCCAGGAGCTAATTTTCTACATTAGTACTGAAAGCCAGAGATTCACTCTCCAGACACAAGTATTGCAGAAATGGGGATGCTTTTCCCATTTTTTTTGTTCATTACAATTACTTCTTCTCTTTGTCTGAGTCAACTTTCCCCAATTAATATGTAAGTAAGAGCATTACCAGCTATAATACTGAATCTTAAAAAACAAAGATTCTAGATGAGATGTGCTGATCTCAACCTGGACAGTAGTGGGGATTTCTTAATGGAACTCAGTCCTCAAGCTAGGAAACAGAAATGCTCAGAATTCACACTCCTAAAAAGGATGTTCAGTGATGCCGTCTGGAAAAGGTTTGTCTTGAGAAGTTTGGGAAGAATAGCATTAAGCTCAGCTCAGCAGGGGAGCAACCTATTGACGCTCAGGCATAAATTTTTCAAGGATGTGTCAGTGGCAGAAACCTCACTCACCAACAGAGTACATCTCGGGCTCAGTGAAGAATGGACAGAATAGCACAAAGAAGGACTCTCAATTTTCTGACATGGACCTGCCTACAGGTAAATAACTTTAATGCTGCCAACCCCTTAGGACATTACTCCTTGCTATGTAGGTTTACACAAAGAATGGTCAATTGGGGAAACTGAAGTGAAACTGCAAAATAGTCTCTATTATTAACAAATCTTTCTTTTCATTTTATTTTACATTGTTGACACCATGCTGTGATATAGGTTACCACTTTCAGCTATACCAAGAGGCACGTCAAAATCTGAGTTAATATATGCATTTTAACACCTTCAGTGATATTTCAAACTCTAGTGCCTGCTCAGCTCACTTAAAGAAAAAGTTCTATGTGGGTACATATTATGCCAAATTAATTTGGCAATGCAGTACTTCAAAAAAACTATAGGATTTATCTAGGTACTAGTTTGAGGCTCAAGCCTAGTTGTAAGGCAAGTTTGTTCAAGTAAATGGAGATTATAATTAACAATCTTTTTAAATGTCTTTCTCCACTCATGCAAGTTAGAAGTTACAGTGCCCATCTGAAATGCATTACATGCATGCACATTCATGTTAATGCTTCCCAGCTTCCAGTTTCAAAGCAAAACCATATCTTGAAGATGCTCCAGCTGTATGCAACATTGGCTGTTTTATACTTTATTTTCAGATTCAATAAACTGTAACAAAAACCTTGTTGAACATTAGCATTCATGACACAGTATAATTTCACCTGAATCCAATGTTACCAATCCCTTATGGTATCTACATGCTGTTGGGCCACCTACCCAACAAAGACAGAACTTCCTGCTGCTGAACATTAGGAAGTCTGAAGTCATAAAGCATTCTGAAAATATTAAGCTGTTCAGCAAGAGAAACGATATAGGGATAGAATTAGAATATTGTCAACGCCTAGGTTGAAGTTGATGCCCATGTCTTAGAACGATTTGAATGGAAGATGAAGAGGGAGGCACAATTAGATCCTTGTGTGGACTCCAGAAGTAACACACTAGGTGTAGGAAGGGAAGTGATCAGTGAAACTTTAGATATGTCATAAGTAGGAAAAGAAACAGTAGGAGGCAGTCCCACTGAGCTGGGAAACGAAGGAGAGATGTTGGAAGCTTTTTCTTTCTATTCATTTGTGGGATGTGGGCGTCAGTGGCTGGCCAGCATTTCTTGCCCTAAAGAAGGTGGTGGTGAGCTGCTTTCTTGATCCGCTGTAGTCCTCCTGCTGTGGGTTGAGCCACTATGCTATTAGGGAGGAAATTCCAGGATTTTGACCCAGCAACAGTGAAGGAATGGTGATATATTTCCAAGTCAGGATGGTGAGTAGCTTGGAGGGGAACTTGGAGGTGGTGGTGTTCTAGTGTACACAACTGTGTCAGAGGCAGTAGTGAGGACACGGAGCATGAGATGGGTAAGTGCCCCAGACTGATATAATTAAAGTTACTACAAACAAATAAAGTGGGATTGAGAGTAGGCCCATGGGTCTATTCAGCCATGTGGTAAGATTATGGCTGATTTGATTATGGCCTTTACTTGCCTGTCCACCATCACTTAATGACCCTTCCTACACTGCTCTCCAGGGAGGAAAATTCCACAGACTCATGGCCCTCAAAAACTCCTCCTCATCTTCATCTTAAAATGGAAAACCCCTTATTTTTAAATGGGTGAGTCCCTAGTTCTAGTCTCTCCCACAAGAAGAAACATCTATTCAGCACCCACCCTGTCAGGACCCACAGAATCTTATGTGTTTCAATAATACCACGTCCTATTCTTCCAAGCATCAATAGGTGCAGACACATTTCCTCAGAAGATAAATGTTTCAGCCCAGGAATACGTTGAATGAACATTCTCTGCACTGCTTCTGAATCAAATTATATCCTTTCTTAAATAAGATCAGAACTGTATACGATATTCGTGATGTGGTCTTACCAACACTCCATGCAACCACAGCAAAATGCTATCCTACATCTACATGCCATTCCTCTTACAAGAAACAACATTCTGTTTGCCTTCCTTATCACTTGCTGTACCTGCATACTAACTTTTATGATTCATGTACCAGGATATTCGAATCCCTCTGTACCATGGGGCTCCGCAACCATTCTCCATTTAAGTAATAATCTGTTCTCTATTCTTCCTGCAAATTGGACAAGTTCATTTTTCTTTTCCACACTAGCTTTTATCCGCAAAATATTTGCCCACTCACTATTAAGATTATTCTCATTTCAGTCGTAGAAAGTGAAATCCTAATTGAAAGTTGTGGGAAAGACAAACACTTTTGTGCAAGGTAGCAATATCATAGATCATAGAATCCCTACAGTGTGGAAACAGGCCCTTCAGCCCAACAAGTCCACACCGACCATGACAGCATACCCCCAGACCGATCCCCCTATAACCCACCTAATTTACACATCCCTGAACACTGTGGGCAATTTAGCATGGCCAATCCACCTAGCCTGCACATCTTTGGATTGTGGGAGGAAATTGGAGCACCTGGAGAAAACCCATGCAGACACTGGGACAACATACAAACTCCACACAGGCAGTCACCCAAGATTCGAACCAGGGTCTCTGGTGCTGTGAGGCAGCAGTGCTAACTGCTGAGCCACTGTGCCGCCCTTTTTTTTGGTTTAAAAAGTGCTCAGCATTTAATTTCACAACTTCAGCTTCTGACAATTCAAAAATAAAACTGCTGTATTCAGGTCAAGTATACAACTTTCTCAAATACTTCAGAATTAAAAATGGGCAACCTTTTTTCTAATATAAATACCCACTCATTCACAAACAGAGGCACATAAACATCTGAACGTTTTCAAGGCAATGTATTATACTATTTACACTGGTCAAGGAACTGCAAATCCAGTAGTCTCACATCAGGTGGTCATTTGTGAGAGTCATGTAGTTTATCTGTAACTCTATTTATAAAGACCACAAAGTCTAGAATGTGTAGACATAGATTTGACAATTTTAGAGTTGAAAGGGAAGTAATCAATTAGGGTGGCATAGTGGCTCAGTAGTTAGCACTGCTGCCTCACAGTGTTAGGGACCTGGGTACAATTCCACCTTCAGGGCAACTGTCTGTGTGGAGTTTTTATGTTCTCCCCGTGTCTGCATGGGTTTCCTCCCACAGTCCAAAGATATGCAGGTTAGCTGGACTGGCCATGTTACATTTCCCATAGTGTCCAGGAATGTGCAGGCTAGGTGGATTAGCCATGGGAAATGCAGGGTTACAGAGATACATAGGGGGGTCAGTCTGTGTGGGATGCTCTTCAGAAGGACTTGATAGGCTGAATGGCCTGTTTCCACATTGTAGTGATTCTGTGAATTCAAGGTCAAAGTCTTGAGTCTATCCCCCAAAACAGGGTGATAAATAGCAACAGGCCTATTTATGAGTAAATAAATATTTGAGGGGGGAATATAGGGACAGCAATGTTTGGTGATCTGCTGACACAGTCCAAGTGAGCAGCGGTGAATGGTCGGGACAGATTGGAGATTGATAAGATTGTCTCCGAGCAGGCTCACTGGCCATGAATGAATGAGCAGGTGAAGTTGCTGTTTGTAAAAGTTTGCCTCAATGGCCCTTTGCAGAATGTCAAAGTTACAGATGGGAGCCTAACCGTACCTATCATTATTCCTCAGTCTTCCTAGTTGTTTAAGTCTATAGCTACAGTCCATATCTAATGTATTCTACAAAGAGCCACTGAAGTATTATCACAGTCTTAGATGTATCATCCCAACTGCTGTATCCTCCTCTCTTGACAACCTTCCCATCCAGCCAGCCTGCTGTGCAGTTAATTTTGCCAACCTCCTTCCTGTCATAACCACACCATCTAATGTTTTCTTTCTCTTCCTCTGCCTGGGAAAGCCTTTCACACTGACACTACAGCCGTCATGTAGATGCAATTTTAATTGAATGGCTTTTGAATTACAGTATGGGGACATGGGTGAAGAATCAATTGTCTTCCAACCGGAGAAGCTTTGGTTTCAGTGCACTTTGCTCTATGACTGTGAATGTATTTTATAAAAATGCTGCAATAAACATAACGGGGACAAGTAAATCGTGTTAGCTCTCTCCACAGATGCTGCCAGGCCTGCTGAGTTTCTCCAGCACTTTCTGATTTCATTCCAGATCTCCAGCATCCATTGTACCATAATTTTTTTTTGCTTTGGATGCTCCTGTCACTTGATGCACATGTGTAAGTGTAGCAATAAATGCCTTTCTAGAAGATTTCACAGAGATCTCTCTTCCCTCTGACTCACACACCACAAGAGTACCACCAGAACTTAAAGGATCATATTTCAAATTCATTTAATCACTAAAAGCATTATTGAGCAACACTTCACCACTGAATTTCCCCTCGCTGAGGCAAGAAATTGTTCTAGGAGTGAGATAGATCATTTAAATGGCCCAGCCTCCATTAACACAGCCACTCTCTCAAAAGGGATCTGGAAACAACAGTGAAGTTAATACTTGCTGCATATTTTAATGCACCATTGAAGGAGGGGAACAGTGGAATTTTATCCCTTAAAGCCTCCTGACAGCAGTTATTCAAATTTCCCACTTAATTACAAAAGGAAAGCCCTCCCACTTCTCCCAACATCTATAGCAGGAGTTAGAGCATGGCTTGCGTTCAGCAGTAAATTCCTGTTGTCAGTCACGGGCAAAGTTCAAAACGTAACTGTGTTTTAGAAAAGGGACAGTAACAATTACGTTAGTTTTAAATCAGGCTTGTTAAATCCCAGCTTTGAAAGTATGTGAATGGACTGTTTTTCCTTCATTCACCTATACTTGGCAAAACGATGGGGGGGGGGGGGGGCAGGGAGAGAGAAAAGCGTTAGTTTTCTTTAAAGCCTCCTGGATGCGGACAGTCGGGGTTTTTTTTGATACTGGGAGTAATGGGATAGAGATGAAGCGCATCAACAGATCTCTAAATCGTGGCCGCTGCAGCCAGAAACTGAGATGAGTTGACCCCAGTGTGGCGGGCTAACACTGACTTTCAGACTGCTTTAGTCTGTGGTCACTGCTCCTTTCGGCGCTGCAATGGAAATCTCTGGTCAGCACATCTTCAGAGGAATCCAATACCAGCCTAAATAAGGAAATAATTTTGACAGTTGCAATCATGGGAGCAAATTGACTTGAGGGGGTTGATAATATTCGGGGGGAGGGGACGTGAAATGATCGCCGCTGAACAAAAAAAAGAGACACAGACTGGGGGAAATAAAAGCGATCATGAACCGGTATAAATTGAGCCGAATGCGTGGGATTTTCATCCGAGGGAGCTGAGGAATGTGGGCGTGGGGGACGTACATCTGCTGCTTGCGGGGCAATGGGCCGAATGGCCTCCTTGTGTTGCAGTACTTTTCTGATTGATGGTGGAGTCATATCATTATCTGTCCTTCCATTTCCAGAAGCTTGCACGTTCACCCAAATTTTATAAACCCTCCACCCAGAAACAATTTTGCTGGTCAGGCACTGCAGAGATGTACGTTCATAGTTAAAAAAAAAAGCCATTAAAATTAATCTTACATTTTACAATGTCCGGGTCACGTCCCTATGTAAGCACAACATGGCTTCACAAACTGAATGGGATGGAAAAGATCCTACCCTGAGACGGATTACGGTGTTGGAATTCCATGAGATTTGCTTTAAAACAACCTGCTAAAGCCCTGGGTTGCAATTGCCTGTAATTCTCATCAACCGCGAAACACCCGACATGTGTAACTGTGTGACCGACTGGGTTTGTTTAAGAGATAAGACTAACACTTTAATGCAGTAACATTTGAACTTTGGTAAACACAGGTAACAGGATTTAAACGCCAGCATAAATATTATCAAACGCTCTTTGTCTGACCATTATTTCTCTCTCTCTAATAAAAGTAAAAAGGTCCAATTGAAAGCCAGTGTGTGTGTGTGTGCGCCAGATTTTACTACCTGGATAGTTTGGCTGGGGTCGCCAGATACCGGACCACCAACCAATTTACAATACAGATCTTCCACCGGCTTCCCCGATTCATCCTGTCCGCAAGTGGCCGTGGCTGTGATCTTCGTGCCCTCCGCTAAGTTAAAATAAGGCGGGTGCAGGCTGAAGCCGTTCACTCCGTAACCATAGGTGATAACCTCCTGCGCTGAGAGCAGCCTGACGGTGCAGCAAATGTGCCAGAGCAGCGCCACTGCTGCTGTGCCTCTCGCCATATTTCCCCCTGAGCTCAACTCACTGACTGCTGCCTGTGCTGCTCATCGCCACTGACTGAGCCGCAAACTAACTCACTCACTCACTCTCTCTCAGTCACACACACACACAGCAGCAACAGACCCAACCAGGCAGGGCTACCTAATCAACTGATGATGCATCAATCACCCTCCTCCCTCGCCCACAATCACAATGGAAGTTTGTACCTTGAATCGCAAACAGGAGGGCGTTGCTTTAAACATACACACACACACACACACACACACACAGAATCTAAACATGCCTCACTCCTCCTTCAGCCCCGGAGTTTGCAAAGAAAAAAGTTTGGGCTCTGCCAGTGAAACATTTTCAACACCTCCCATGAATTTCAGCTGCAAATTGAAATCAGGAGAGTAAAAGTTTATTTGCAATTGCTTCCTGTACCTGCTCACATTGTAATACAATATTACAAGTGCTGACCTCGAAGCGTTAACTCTGTTTTTCTGTATGCAGATACTGCTGAGTTTCTTCAGCACTTTCTGTTTTTGTTTCATATTGTAATACATGAAGTTATGTAATGAAGGAAGCCTGGGGATTATTAATGTTTACGGGCAGGGGTAACGATGGATTCGAACAGTCTCAGAGCTTTTGGATGGATATTTCTGATTTGATTTATTGTGATATGTACTGAGATAACTGAAAAGTATTATGTTGCGTGCTAACCAGATAAATCATATCTTACAAACGTGCATCAAGGTAATAGAACAGAATACAGAATATAGTGTATTTTTTTGATCAACTTGCTCAGACACTTTACAGCACGGCTCTTTTGGACCAGGCGTAGGGACGGTACCACTGCACCACGGCACACATCTCTCCAGAGTAAGCTGTGCATGTAAGAAGCCAATATTCACGTGTGGAGCTGAGAAAGTCCTGGATTCTGTCACACTAGTATCTCCGCATGGGAAATGATGGAGTGTTTAAAATTAATGGACTCTTTAAAACTTTGCAAACAATAAGCTCCGTGTTCTTCCTTGCACTATTTTCATTCTAAGGATTAGAGTCTGTACTTCAAGTTTATTGCTCTATAAAACACTGCTTATGATTTGTGACCTCTCCCTGAATCGAACTCTTAGCACGCCTGGGGCTCCGTTAGCTCATCACTTGTTGAAAACAGATCCTGAGATTCATAGTAATTATAAAAGCACAATCATCAACAACAATTACTTGCATTTCCGTAGCACTCTTAACATGGTAAAACTTCCCACAGACCTCACAGGAGCATAGCCAGAGAATAATTGACACTAAGCCAAAGGAGCAAACATCAGGGTAGGTCCAGAGACAGGGTTTAAAGGATGTCTGAAATGAGGAGAAGGGTTTGTGGTGAGAACATAGGGTCTTAGGTAGTTGAACACAAGACTGCCAATGGGCAAAGGAAGTGGTGACACACAGAGGGAAAGCTGTTCCTCGAGGGTTGGAGGAGATTAAATTGTTGGGAAGATACGGAACCATTGAAAGATTTAAGCTTTGGGATAATTGTTTTTTAAAATAAAGTCTAGTTGCTGTGAGACTGACATCCAACTTAGACACTGAGATGGGAGATGAAATGGAAATAAGTTTGAGTTAGAATGCAGAAAGCAGAGATGTGGGTGTGTCTTACATCTGTGGAGTGGCGATGAGGCCTACTGGGAATAGTCAAGTCTTAAGTTTAAAAAAGGCATGGAAAAAAGTTAACGCATTGTGGAGCTGGAGGAACACAGCAGGTCAGGCAGCCTCAGAGGGGCAGGAAAGTTGACATTTTGGGTCGGGACCCTTCTTCAGAACTGGGGAGGGGGAAGGGGGCTGGGAAATGAATAGAAGGAGGAGGTGTGGGGCTGGCAGGAAGGTAGGTGGGATGGCAATAGGTGGATGCAGGTAGGGGGTGGGAACAGGTGGGAGAGAAGATGAACAGGTAGTTTCTTTGTTTTTCTTCCTATGCATTCGTACTTTTTAAATTTTAACAATTAGCATTATTTATCAACTTGTTAAATAGAAAATTACATGGGTCTTAGGCTGATATGATATTTGAACAAATTGTGAACCATCCAAGCATAGCCCCCTAGCATTATGTGAATAACAACTCTCATTGTTTAAAAGCTGCATTGTTCTGGATTCGGGAGTGATACTCTTTCTGTATCTTGTTCACTTTTCTTTTGAATAATTCTAATGTTCTAATTTACAGTTTGAAAGCTCAATCCCCATTGTTTAAGAATTAAGAGGTTATGCAACAGTCAATTTTCTATCAATTAATGGAACCAAAATTATGTGGCCAATCAGAACATTCTGATGAAGATCACCAGACTCAAAATTAACTCTGCTTTCTTCATACAGATGCTGTCAGACATGATGAGTTATGCCAGAAATTTTTGTTTTTGTTTCAGATCTCCAGCAGTTCTTTGTTTTATATTAAGATGAGGATGTCATTGAGGTAATGAATGAGGCTCCCTATTGCACAGTAGAATGGTACTCACTGTCTATACATACTCAACAACAGCTTGCATTTATGCCATCAGAAGTGTTAATCAGAAATAATTTGACACCAAGTGGCAGAGAGAGATATTAGGTTAAATAACTAAAATCTTACATAACCACAAGAATTAGGAACAGAAATAGGCCATTTGGCCCCTTGAGACTGTTCTACCATTCCATAAGATCATGGCTGATCTGTTTGTACCAGCTCCATTTTCTTGTCTATATTACATAACTCTCGACTTCCTTTATCAAAGAAATCAGTGTTAAATAGTGCAGGAGGAGGAAAATTTGTCAATTCCATAAAACATTGGTGGCTGCAAAGTCATAAGGCAGAGGTAATTAATTTAAAAGAAAATGATAGAAAATTTGAGGAGAAATAAAAAACAGCACTAAAATGATCCTATTTGCAGGTGTGCAGCTGTGAAGTATTTCAACTGCTTGCATAATGTTAAAAAATGATTAGGGCAGAGAGTGAAAAATTTTGTTCCTCCCTTAACTGAAGTCTTTCAGCATCACAAGGGTCTGTACAATCACACCTCATAACTATTAAATTTCAGCACCAAGCAGTGCTGAAACCTAATACCATAACCACAGCTCTGCAAAAGTAACATGCAAACTGTCAAGCTACCAGCAGAGTATTGTCATTTTATTCTGGAAGTTTTCAGTATCAAAGAGCTGAATACAAATCTTATGCAATAACAGTATAAATTTTCAGTCATTATGGTCCGTCCATCATCTAATGCCAACCACTCAGTAGAGATATTCTTATAATTTGACAGGAGTTAAACTGAAAACACTGAATTCCTAATATGCTGCAACTTACAGTCAGACAGTTGGAGTAGAGTCTTTTAATATGTACTTGCCTTTGTTTTAACAATGTGTCTAACACTTGTTGAAAACAGTAAATTCTATGCTTTTACGACCTGACACTTTAAAATCTTTAACTGAGGGTTATAGGATGCATTATTTAGTGAGGAAACAGCCTTAGAAGAACTGATTGCTGATAATGTTGTCCACCAGAGTGTAGACATGTTAAACCATAGTATATCCTTTAAATCCATTTAAAGTCCCTTAAGGCCCTATCCCAATCACTATAACATCTTTACTGAAACATTCTGCTGGATATAACATATTTAAACTATCTACAGGTTGGTGTTAATGTCATCAGCAATCAATTCCTCCAAATCAGGCCAGATAGCAATGTCATTCATGGCACCTTCGAAGTTAGTAAAACAAGTATTTTATTCAATTATTATAAACGTTTCTTGCCTTTTGAGTTCATGTATTTATTATTTTAGTCAAATTTAAATAAGATAAGGTAATGTGCAAGAACTTCCTACTTAGACATACAAGAAATATCATAAATTGGAATCAAAACACTCAGCTGTTCTCTTCACAGATGCTGCCAGACCTACTGAGTTTCTCCAGTACCTTCTGTTTTTATTTATGATCTAGAGAGATAATTTCTCTGGATTTGAGTCTGTATAACAAATAGCATCAGGAAACAGGATTCAACTTTGTACTGCTTTGTGTGTTAAGATCTATTTAACTATGTTCTATTTTTAGATAGGTTTATTCTGTTGCTAAAGAAAATCTGCACTCGTGTGTGCCAATGTTTTAGTGATTCAGTGAATGACCATAATATAAACTAAAATTTTAAAAGAAAATTTCAATTAGGCCAGATTTCATTCTGGGATTTGACTTATCCAGAAATACCATCAACTGGGATGATAACACCATCCTATATGAGTTGATATTATTGACATTGCTAATAGACTCCTCTGTCTAACACAGAATCGACAGCCTCCAAGCTTATTAGTTCGGTCAAGGGAGAAAAAGCAAGAGCTCCACATAACTCAACTGTTAGTTAAATTCTTTTAAGAAAATCTAATGCTTAAACCATGCAAAAGGCACAGGCAGGTCACGGAATTTCTCTCTAATTGCCAATAACTCAGACCTTGATGAAATTATGTCTGGGAATTTTCTGGGGACTGAAATCCTGTTGTCCAGGCAAATCAGCCATTGACTGGTTCACATTCAATTGTCAAATACTCCAACTGGCTTCTGTAGACATCTTATTGATAGTGTAGGAAGAATGACTGTTTAAAGTCTCCAGGGGAGCCATTGTCATTGGTGAGTTTTGCTGCCTATTCCCAGTATGGCTGGAATGTGGATGATATAGTAATATAAATTAGAGTTGGTTATCTTGCTGTGAGTTAAAGTCTCTTGTTTAATAAAGCAAGAAAACGTATTTTTTAAGTGAAAGTTCAATTTGATAGCCTAAATTAATCGAGTCGCATTTGCCAAAGGCCTTGGCTATTCACCCCATCCATGCCTCTCATGATTTTATAAACCTCTGTAATGTCACCCCTCAGCCTCTGTCACTCCAGGGGAATTAGGCCCAGCCTATTTAGCCTCGACCTGTAGCTCAAACCCTCCAATCTCAGCAATATCCTTGTAAATCTTTTCTGCACCCTTCCAAGTTTAACAACATATTCCCTATAGCAGGGATACCAGAATTGAATGCTAGATCATAAATAACAACAGAAAGTGCTGGA